TATTTACTCTGACCCTTTACGAAAAAGTTTATCAACTCCCACTGTAGAACCATCCGTTGATGTTAAACCTCTAAAGCCAGACCGCCTCAGAACTATCTTTGCACGTTCAGGAGCTTTTGCTATAAAGGTTGGGGTCATTAGGGCACAGCAGAGGAAAGAGGTGGCCTATGTCCAGCAAGTTCTTTCAAGTTCCTTAATTAGTTGTTCTTAACACATAAACACCTCAAAGCTCATATGTTCCAGTAAGCACTGGATTTTCCCCTTTTCACCATCTTGGATCTGCTTCAGTGCTCAAACCAAAGAAATATTTTTCTTTACCTGCCACTTCGAATCCATCACCAGGTCTAGGTGGTCCTCCAGAATATACATCCGGAAGTTGTCCTCTTTGCTGCACCTCCACTGCTGTGACCTGGTCACATTGGCCTGGACTGAGGCTCCAGCTCATAACAGTTCCTGTCTGCTAACTCATCACTCTTTATTTTCTTCACAGAAGGCCTCTAGTGTTTCATGATCTGGCCTTTTTTTTTTTTTTTTTCTTATTTACTCTCTTCTTCCCCCTCTTGAATCCAGGCTTCAAAAGAGCAGCCCCTGTTTGCATCGTTTCGTATTCACTAATGTGTCCCTCTTGGTGTCCTGGGTACCATGAGGATAAGGGGGTGGGTGAGGGAGCTTGGTGCTGAAAACACCCCCAGAAATGGCATATTAGAAACATCAAAAGGGATTGTTTCAAATTTACCAAGAACATACACCCAGCTCCCAGCTCGTTTTGATGTGGGTCCTGTCTCATTATCCACCTTCCCCAAGCACAGCCCCTCCCTACATTGGGTGTCACATTGAGAGAGTCCCCCACTGCTGCTGGAGGTAGGCTCATCCCCCACATCCCTCCCCAAAGTGACAAGAAGACAACAGAAATGGAAACCATTGTCCTAGACCGGTGCTTCCCACGCTTTGCAGTAAGAAGTGTCTGTTACCTTTGATCCCGTCTGCATCTGTATATATATGCATACATACTTGCTACAGATACTTTTCTATTCTAGGCTATTCTGTTTGGTTCTATTCACTTCCATTAAAACAATGATGGTTTTTACCCATCTCCTTGATTTCATGGTGCATTCTTGTATCACAGCTCACAGTTTATAAGCAGTGTTGAAGGTAAGGCACTTACGCTCAGAGCTCGCAACCGGGTGAGGAGACCCCCAAGGAAACCAGTGTCGAGCAAACTGCCCGGTGCTGCTGGGCGGGCCCAGAGGGCTGTAGGCACTAGGAGCCGCGAGCTACCCGGGAGGTGGGGTGGGGCAGGGCAGGTAGGAGTGGGTGTGGCCCTGGGTTTAGAGCTCTCAGGAAAATGAATATTCCTGTGGAAGTTAGATTTAAGATTTAATTTAGTTGTTATTCTTATTGCTCTCTTTTTTTAAACCTTTCTCACTAATCAGTTCTTTCTACAATATAGGATCTTGTGTTTGTTTGTTTGTTTTCCCTCTTATATACTGATGTTTTTATTGCTAACAGGGAGTTGTCTGTTATTCCCCAAGTATTTTTTAATTAAAAAAAAAAAAAGTTGGCCTCCTTCATATCTTTTTATTCAATTTTCCCCTCTACTTTTCACATTAGTTTTCTCAAATTATATGTGTGTGTAGGAAATTTAAATATATATATTTGAGATGAAAGTGTATCTATGAATGAAGGTCTTTGTTCTCTTATAATTTTGAATTCCTTAATATTTAATGAAAAATGGCCCCTACAGTTATTAAGTTTAAAAAAATACTGTTTAGATAAGATGCAGATATTATATTTCTAAAAGCTCTTACTCTCAAATATATATTCAGAACTTTAATAAAATTACACCCTTCTCTCCTCCATTAGGGTCATTAAATGTACTTTTTCTAGGCCTAAGAGACTTGAGCATTCTCTCCTGCATATTTCCATTTGAAAAGTTTTCAAGTAAACCTTTCTGTTCTGAACTGTTATATGAAACCAAGGAGAAAGCTTGCAAATAAGTCCCCTTACCTGTGTCTTTCCTGCCTCTTCCAAGCTTTGCCTGTTCCTCTCTACTGTCAGGTCATGGGAGGGATTAACGAGATTGACAGCCTCACCATGGGTGTGCCTCTTTTCTGAAGATGCCTCTTTTGTTTATTTTTTGCTCTTTGGAAATTCTAAGTATGAGATACTGAAATTAATGTCTAGTCCATAAAAAAACCTATCAGCATTTCTAGCCGCCCCTCACTGTAACAGGCAGGACTAATGAAGGTAGGAATCATTATGAGGCAAAGCCCAGGCAGATGCTGCAGTGAACAAACACTGTGGTTATGTGCTGACCAAGTTTGCAAGGAAACCTCCGCTGGACGATCACCGTGCAAAGAATGGGCAGAAGAAAACGTCTGGTGGCCAGGCTGTTGTGAACCAGAATTGGCTTCTAGTACAAGAGAGAAGTTACAGTACAGAAAAAACAGAATGAGGGGTGCACAGAAGGCAGATGGGGGGCTGATGGGATAATGGAAGAGATTTGAGAGAAGAGGAAAGCTCCCTGAAGTGAATTTGCTGAGCCAGGACCGGTATAGTCCTGGCCTGCCCCGTCAGCCTGCTGGAGGCCCCGCCCACTGCCCCTGCGGGAATGTGGTGCTTCTTTTATGATGGGCAGCTTTGGGGAAGTCAGACTCGATTTCATGACAGGCATTGCACAGCCAGCTTTGCTCTCTTTTTTCTATGATAAAGGAGATGTTCAGGGCATCGTCACCATTTCTCGAGTTACCTGTAGGTGCTGCCGTGTTCTAGGTGTTCGGCGGGATGCCATCGCTGGGCCTCGCACCAGTCCTCACGGGTTTTTATTTCATTCATGAGGAAGCTGAGGCTTTTTGTGGGACCATGATTTGCCCAGAGTCACACAGGAAATGTCCAGCTGCAGAACTTTTGTTTCTCCTGTAACTCCACCCGCTTCTTGCACCTGGATCGGTTACTTTGTGAAACGTTACCCCCACCGCACCCCTATCCTGTGGTTTTTCCACTTAGTTTGTAAATAGTATTGTGGTATAATAAACAAGCTACTTAAGTCAGGATTAGGGGGAAAAACACATTCTTGGCCTATTGTTATTTTCCTGAGAGGGCCAGTTGTCCGTCCTTTTTTTGTCATGATTTTTATTCCCTATAAAATTAAACAGCCCCACTGTGAAAGCCACCTTGATAAAAACAAAAGCCATTCGGTTCCCAGGCCTCAGATAATCTCTGCAGAAATGTTTGGATTGCTTGTGGGCCCCGCCCTCCAGGTAGCTGGTTTGGGGCCTTCTCTGTCCCAGTGGATCAGAAAGGCGGGTCCCACAGGCCTCCACCGGGAGCTCTGATCTTCTCAGGGCAGGACCCCCGCTGCTGAGGAGCCACTGGCTATTGTGGGCTTTCTGCTTTGTTTTACATTATCCCAGTTTGGTAGTTATGGTCTACCCTCCCTCCCCCGAGGACTCTCCCCGCTCCTTAGCTTTTGGCTTTCTCCTATAAAGTGTCTCTTTCCCAAAGAAAAGAACAGAGAGTCCCCAGTAGGTCTTTTGGCTGCCTGACTGCCTGACTCAGAAAGTCTCATCAGCTCCCTGAACTATTCCTGGCTGGAAAATGGACATAGGAAAGGCCACATAAGGATGTTGAATTTTCCAGAGTTGAAAAATTTCGTATCTTTAAACAGCAGGATAATTAAGCTGGGAACTTTGGCCTGGCTGGGACTTGTGTTTGGGGTCAGGCCTGTGCCTGGGAGTGGGTGGCCGGGGTGACGCGGGGCTCCACCCCTCTCCTCAGGGCGCCAGAAAGAGTTAATTGCAGATACACTGCTTGCTGCTGTTGCTAATAAAGGACTGTAATGCATTCTGTGGAGAAGTTTGTAAGTAAATGATTTGGTGAGATGACTGAAATAGAAAAATTTTAAAGCTTCTCTAAAGATTTTAGGACTCATTTTTCTAAGAGATTTTCTTGGGCTTTTCCCCCATAATAGTTAAGCAATTTTCTTGTTTGCTTTCTAAATCTTTCTGGAGTACAATAGTTCTGAAAATAAGAGCGTCCGTTGGCTGGAAGCATGGGGTGGGCACGGGTTTATGTAATTTCACTTCTTTTCTCTCCAAATCAGTAAATATTTACAAATGGCCTTATCAAACAGCTTGGGTACATTCGGTCACTTGAAAGCAGTTGGAGCAGTGACTGCCCATCGACCAGCTGCCAGTCCCCGTGGGCTGCACGGGAAGGACCTTTTTTTTTTTTTTTTTTTAAATGCCGTCCACAAACCAGAAAGCCTCCCGCAGAAAGTGGGCCTCACCAAGTGCCTGATTCCAAGCAACCAGTTTTACAAAATTTGCATTTTAAAGTTTGACACCTAAAGATTCAACCCCCTTTAAGCCCAGATCGGAGCGCTGTGAACTGGGGGACCCAGAAGATAAATACTGGCTGGCGGAGGTTTAGGCCGCCGCCCGAGCTTCTTTGGTTTCTCGGGGAAGAACTGCAGATGCCATTTGAAGCCTCAGTGTCACACATTTGGGAGTGAGCAGGACAGAACTGAATTCCTTTTCTGGTTTTGTAAAGGAGTCCCAATGTAATGGTTTAAAAACAACTCTTGGTTTTTAAAGCGGAGATGGAGTTAAGAGGGTGTCTTAGCCCCCATTTTCTTTCAGTGTTTGAAATCTGACATTTAAGACTAATTTTTAGAAGAGAATACATGTTTTCCGAAGTTGACACTGAAAATAATACAGGCATCTCAAGTGCGTGGCTGTTAGGACGGCTCTATCAGTCTCACCTGGGCATAACGTGTTCATTTTGTCTGTCAGACTTACTATGAATTAAACTAAAGTGCATTTTATGGTGTTCTGTTGTCAGAGTATAGTACATTACACTATTTAAAACAGGCAAACAGTTAACAAAAAACTGGAGGCTTTTAAAATTAAGTAACTGAGATAATAGCTATATACCTATTTCATGCAAAATACTTAATGTTTTCTGTATTAATCACTGTTGCATTTTCATTTTCTTTGCAGAGTATTGGGAAAGGGTCATTGTGGTGCATAGACCCCGAGTATAGACAAAATCTAATTCAGGCTTTGAAAAAGACACCTTATCACCCACACCCACACGTGTTCAATACACCTCCTGCCTCTCCTCAGGCATATCAAAGGTAAGAAATTCAGACTTACTTTTATTTTTCGTCTCCTGAAGTTGCCTTATTTTGGAAGAGACCGGCGCTGAAACTAATTTAATAGACTGCATGATTTTAAAAATAGGTAAATGAGAAAGAAATGAAGTGTTATTGGAGGTATATCTACTGTTGTCTTTCTTGCAAATCTTACCGCATTCGCTGCTTTGGAGGAATGTGTTTCCAGAAGGCTTCATGGCAGGCAAAACATTGTCTTCTGGGTAGAAAGATTTACAAAGAAAAGTTGACAGCTTTAACGTATCAGTGTGTCCCGGTTTGTTGGAGTAAAAGCGCAGAATGAGTCAAGTAAGTGATTCTGTCTTCCCAGCGTCTGACCAAGACTGTCTCCAGGTGTCCACTGAAGGACTCACCCAATTGTTGTCACTCTGGTCTCCACGTAGACGGTGCTCCCGAGTGACCATTTTGTTGTGGTTACTTGGTGTTTGCCTCTGCAAAGACAACAGCAGAGGACAATGGATACTTTCATTCCCTTTCACTTGCCTGTTTGTTTTGAGGCAGGGAGGTCACGGGTACCCCTATTACAAAGACATAGTTGGAAGGGAGGGTGTGTGGTGTGTTACTTTTTTAAAAAATTGTTATTAGTGTTAGATTAAAGTAGCCACCTAGAACAGAACCAAATTTTAACACTGATTTTATCTTAGTGCTCGGCTTTGAAATGTATCCCTCAATCCTACCAAAAAAAAAAATGTTTAATGTCTAAGAGATATTTCTGCCATAACCACTCAGTGAAATTACCCTTGGACTATGAGTTTATGTTAATGAGAAATGGTGTGAATTCTTAGATTTCAGTAGTTTTATAGTCCACTGTTCTGGAGGTTCTTTCTCAAAGCTTGTGCTCTGCAGAAAGGAGCACAAAGTGATCCTCTGAAACGGCATTAATGAAGTTCTTGTGCATCTCAGTTGAGAAGCATTCCATCACAGGCCCTAGACAATCAGTCTTCAGCAAGAGACGGGGAGGAACAGCTGGGCTCTCTGAGAAGACTGCTGTATGTCTGCCTTTGCTAGGCGATTAGCGTGATGGTATCCATAGCAACTGGAGCGTCTCCATAGTAACGCGTAGCAGAGACAGGTGCAGTTGCATCACAAGGCTGTTTGTTGCCTGGCAAAAGGACAGGCCATTAGTACTTAGATATACGCTGTTGCCTTAGAAACAAATAACCCTACATAGCAACTACAGTTCGTTTGAAAGATTTGGGGGGAAAAAGAGGTTGTAGCAGCTTTTGTCTGTGTTCATAAAAATCAGTGGAAGCATACTTTATTGGAAATGACAACTTGAGGTCATAGAGCTGTAGGAGATAAAATGGGATTTTCCAAAGCAACCCAGCCAACATTGTAGACGTGTCCAGAAGGACAGAGCCATATGCTTGGTTTTCTTCTGGTGGCTGTAGCCATTCCTGAAATCTGGAAGGGAACTAGGATTGGAGTGGAGAACCGTCAACATACAAGGTTGGTGGGGGAGCAGGTGACACTAGTTACTGAAATATTTCCCAGATTTCCTTGTTCCTTGGTCATTCTACTCCCCCTACCCCCAAGACCCCACCCAATGCTCCTTCCTTTCCTCCCCACTCTGTACCTCGGAAGCATTTCATATCCTTTTGCTTCTAGGAAGTTAAGGACATTGTGTTAGTCACTGGGTCATATCACTGGTCTATTTAGACCCGTATTCTGTTGCCAAGAGTGGCCCCAAGGGAAACACAGTAATTATTTAATAATTGGGAGGATTACAGCAGTGCGCTGGGGATGCAGGAGGAAGGCACGCTCAGGCGAGAGGCTTTCCGAGCTGGCCCAAGCTTAATGGCTTCATTGGATTTTTTTAATATGGGCATAAAAATGCAGACGAACCAGAGCTTTGGTAGTGAAAATTATTTCCAAACAAATACTTCAGCTCATGTACTATACAGTCTTTGTCTCCCAGTTGGCTGAGGAAAGAAAAAGGTTCCTCTGTCTCCCCATGCTTTCCCCTCCATGACGGTCACTGGGTGTGCGGTGAGGTGACAGATCCGATTCTAGCCTGCCTGTTCCACGTCTTAACTCTGAGAGCGAGTCCCTTTCTCTTTCCTGGGGACTAGAACGCTAACAGTACTGAATACTGGATGATTGTACAGTATTCGTATGGCCGATAATGATGTGATATTCGGCTCCATTCGAAGCCATCAGCTCACGTGCTGACGTGACTTAGGGGAGATGGCAGAGGGAAGTGGGACAAAATAAGTCATTAAACAAGGACCAGAAATGCCAACTTCATGCTGTGTGGCTGGGTCCCCTGCAACATTGGGAATCACCTGTCAGCTCCTTGCAGGACTGCTGTGTGGGGCACGTGGGAAGTGCCTGGTGTTCATGGAGCTGGTACTTAGCGTGTCGAAGGTGGTGATTACACTAGATGGGTGGTTATTGCTAGTGCTCGCAGGTGTGCTTGGTAGGGAGCGCTCTGGGCTGAGCTGCAGGTGGCTGAAAACTCTGCCCGGGAAATGAGTAGCTGAAAGCCCTGCCTCCACACTGTTCGTGTCCAGATAAAATGCTCGATATTGTGGCGCTAGACTCATGCCTCTGATTTCCAGCAAACTCTTCTGGATGTTTGTTTAAATGTTCTTTTGACACTACATGTGTGAATTGTTTTGCATTGAAACGCAGAGTTCAATGACATTAGCTCTCTCTTAGTTTGCTAAGGCTGCTATAGAAACGTAATAGCTGAGTAACAGCAGGGGTTTATGTTCTTTCAGTTCTGCAGGCTGGAAGTCCAAATCACGGTGGCAGCAAGGGGGGCTCCTCCTGAGGGCTGTCACGTGGCTCTCCCCTGACTTCCGGTGTTTTGCCGGCAGCTTTGGCCTTCCTTGCCTGGAAGCAGCGTTACCCCAGCGTTCACACGGTGTTCTGCTGGCACCCTATCTGTGCCCAGATTTCCACCTTTTAGAAGGACACTAGCCATATTGAACTAGGGGTCTGCCCTACTCCAGTACAACCGTGTTTTAAGTAATTACCTCTCCAATGACACTTTTCAAACAAGGTTACATTCTCAGGTACTGGCGGCCAGAACTTCAACGTGAATTGGTGGTGGGGGGCGAGGGGGAACGACACAGTTCAGCCCAGAACAGCCCTTTCCTTAAGTGAGGCAGGTTTGCTGATAGAAACATGGAGGGGAAGAAAATAAAGAAATGGTCATTGCCAAAATGACGGGGCATGTCGAAGGGATTCTATACTGGAGCCAACCTGAAACTGCCCCCAGCGGCCAAAGCTGGGACAACAAAATGAATAACATGGTGTTGAGGTGTCACCCAAAACATAAAATAAATATCTATGTGTCCACACTGATAGACCAGTAAATTAATTATTGAACAAATGGGTGTAGAGGCAGATTTCCCATACAGGACGATTTCAGATGATTTATGTAGGTTCTTCTCCACTCCAGGAGTCGGAGCTTAGCTCCCCACCCACACAGGGGCTGCATGGAACCGCTTATTTCCAAAGCGTAGATGGTGGGAGAAACAGAGGGTTTGTCGTGGAAAAATCGGGCAAACGCTACCTGGGCCAGGTGTTCAGAGCTAATACCCTTCATGTGATGTGGACAGCGTGTACCTTGATATGACGGCCTGACATCGACACTTCACCTGCGTTGTCTTCTTCCCCCTAATCCGTAACCCCAGTCTACTCAGCGGAAGCACATTAGACAACAGTTTTGTCCGCAAGGGGGGACATTCAGCAGAATTCCTGACCAGCACGTCTCAAAGCTGTCCAGGTTTTCAAGCCCAAGGACCGCCTCTGAAACTGTTGCAGACCAGAGCAGGCTGGGGAGGCGTGGGCAGTGCCCAGGTGCAGTGCCGTTAATGCCGATGCGCCAGGGTGGGTTCCTTGGCTGGGACAAACGTATCATAGCAGCATAAGGCGTCAGCAGTGGGGGAACTGAGTGAAGGGTTATGTGGGGACTCTTCTGTGCTCTCTTTGTAACTGTTCTGTCACAGAAAAAGCGGTCCCCGGCACACAGACTGGTTGTTTGTTGTTTTTCCTCAACTTTAAATATCCAAGTTATTATTTGTGTAATGAAATGTGAAATCATGGCATCACTGAGCAGTCGCCTGACCTCCTTCAGTGTCCGTCTCTGTCATCAGTACAATGCGTTTGAGCAGCTGATGATCAGGAGCACTTGCTTTTCCCGAGTTCTCTGGAGGATTGGCTGAGCCGCACGAGGGGCACCATTGTTATTTGGATGTTAGAATTCTTGGAACTTTATTTTTGTGAAATGACACTCAGTTGTGCTTTGTAGGGTCCCTGTGGCTGCGCTCAGGGCCTAATCAGCTTCATTTAGGACTCCAAACCTTTGCCAGCGTGGCCTTCTGACTTCAGAAAGAGGGAGGGATGGTGGTATATTGGGGTTTCTAGCCTACCCCACTTCAGAAAAGTCCTGTTGTCTGTTTTAATGGTTATCTTGCATATGCCCCTCTTTCCTAGCTGAGGACTTCTCATTAAACCATATGCATCTTTTAATACTTTTGATACAGTGATTGCAAAATTGCCTTCTGATTTTTACATTCTGTTCCAACCTGTATTTCCACCAACTTTCTAGGAAATTCCCATTTTCTAACCTTTCTCTATGTCTGAGGCTTAAATAAGCTGACAGTTTCCTAGCAGGTAACTTAAGCTTTTGTGAATTTGCTACTTTATAGTGGGGGCATTTATTTAAACTTTACAGTATTAAATTAATGCCCTATGAATGGTGGATATCCCCTAACAATGTTTATAACAGCATTGTTTTCCAAAGTTACATATGTGGATCTTATGCGATGTATTCTCTGGTAAAGCCACCAACCCAAAATCAGTTTACAGAAGTTCTCAGCAGGTAAAAGTCAGCTTTGGCTGAAGGAGTGAACTGGTAGTGGCGGATGGGGGTGTGGGTTGGGGGAAGGGAGGGAAAGTAAGGTGTGTGGGGAGCTCATCCTTTTAGACAATTAGACGATTAGAAAATCCTC